ATTATATAAAATATATAATATATAAAATAATCATATAATATATAATAAAATAAAATAAATATATAATAAATATAATTATCCATTGATGACAGATGCTTGTTTACATTTTCTTACTTTCCCATTCAGGAGAGTCCCCCAAGTTTGGTTGAGCCCTGATACTGGCCCCCATACTTCAGCTTTTCAGAAGTTACAGGTGGCTCTTGGGTCCAGGTTAGGCCCTCTGATACAACCCAACAATGATCAAAAGGTGTGCAACCAGAAAGATCAGATCATCAGAATGATAGGTGACCCTTAGATTAATTTCAAAATCTATCTGCAGGAGATCAGTTCAGATCTTCTATGCAGCTGTCTGCTCGAGAGGAAGAGAGTAACAGAAGCAGAAAATAAAGGCAAGCATCAGAGAGGAAATACACATTTTTGTCTATGTGTTACATATCTAAATTCCATCTAAGTTTTTTTTGGTCTGTGACATCACCCACTGCTGGCTTCAATCTTGCCTATCCTCCAGTAGATTACCTCCAAGGCAATGCAACTCTCAGCATTAAAAGGGCTGGCTGGCTTTCATATACTGTAATGGAATGAGAAGGGACAGTCCAAAGAATTTGCAACAAACTAGATTGTTGCAATTGGAGGGAAGAGGGAGGGAGGTATTTTTCAATGTTTCTCCATAACAAACATCCAACAAGCAATATGTAGCACATCAGACAGAAATTATTCCTGGCTGTGTTGTTTTTTTACTGGGTCGCATTCAAAAACAGTGAATCCTATTTATAGCCTAACATAGTACGATCTATTTAGGTTTCTACCATTTGTCAATCACACACAATGATTCCCCAGAGACATGTGGATGGGGAAGCTTCATCCCAGAAGCAGGGCATGCTTACAAGGTGACCTAAGGACACTTACAGAAAAAAGCATGTTCTTTTTATCTTGGTTAACAGCCCTCGGGTCTGGAATTGGATCGGTATGTTTAATGACGGAGACAGATTCACCTGCAGAAAAAAGAGGGGCGAAAAGGAAATTTGTTTTTCCTGCACATGTCAAGAATGAATGGTCCAACAAGATGTTTCAGGTTTGGAATAAACCTGAGTTACAAACCACACATACGAACAAGGATGCGGCCCAGTCCTGAGGTAAGAAAGAGGGCAAGACTAGGAAATGCAGAAAGGACAGATGTCCACATTCCCTCATTTGTACTGATTACTAGGTGTAAGGATTACTAGATGTTCACCAGATACTCAGGACCACAAATTCATCTGTACCAAAAAGCATGCCATCTGGAGGCCACAAGCATGCCTGTCTTACTTCAACCTGTGAACATGCATGCCATGCACATAATGATGACACCGTTAAAGGGGACTACAGATTTTTACTGCTTTCATTATAGCTTTCCTTTAGTGCTTTCCAAACTTCACTTCTGTCTATGTTCACAAATACTTTCCCTCCTGCAGAATAGAATGCCTACCTGTAAGAATGGATTGGTCCACCCTCAGCGTTGTGGATTTGATCTCGATGATTCGGATGTCAGCAGGCACTTTGTCACCAACTAAAAGATGGAAGGGCAATGAGATTGTTTGAAATGAAAAAGGTGTGTGTTGGAAATCCAACTTCAGTCATTTACAAAATGATGAGAGATTTTGCAATGTTTAACAGGGATCTGCAATGCTTTGAATTTGATTCCAAAAAGATGCTTCAGAGAATGTGGAAATGTGACTGTAGCACCTGTTTACAACTCCTTTGTAAGTTATCTCCTGCTCCTTTTCTCAGAAGATAGCAACCATTGCAATCCCAAGAAATGACGTAGCTGCTTTAAAGAGATGCAGAAAGGTGCCACATCATGCTCCTATGCACTCTGAATTTGAAGCACTCCAACGTTTACTATAAAATGGGGTATACATTTCCAAATAGGTTTGCTTTGGAAGATGGAAATCTAGATTAGGAAAAGACCTTATGGGGAGGAAAAGTTTGATTTTTTTAAAAAAAATACCACTGCATAGCATATGGGATGGCATTTCTTTTCCAGATCAGAGCTTCTGCAATTATTTTTAAATATTTTTGTCAAAAATAGTACCACAAACTGTTACTGTAACCATTCCAAATTGTCCAATTTTTCTAAGTGGGAGAAAATATTTTTCATGTCTTAGGGAGGGGGTAGTATTGGCCATATAATATTTTCTTTTTCCTAAGGTCTTTGGTTTTTTTATTTGACTACTGCCACAAGTGGCTGCAACAGCAATTGTGTTAACAGCCTTGCAAGATTCTGCATCTTCCCTCTGTGGCACTGGAAGGAGGAATGGTGGCTTTACAAACTTGATGGATGCTACTCTCAGAAAACCCTCGTATGGGATGAGAAAGAAAAGATCGCAGACATTTTCTCTGCTGGAAAAAAAAGTCTTCTGAGAAATTTTAGCCCACTTCTAATTCAAATAACGTTTTGCTTTTCTTTTAACCCAGGTGTCCACAAACCTCCTCTCCCCAGAATAAAAATAAAGATCACTGAAATCTTACAAAGATCTCTAAAATAAAGATCACTGAAATCTCATGAGTTCATGCAAGATGATGTCAAAATCTCATGCATTCTCACTGAAATCAGCTCTTTAATTGGGTGCCCCGGACATTGCACAATGAATTTTCCGGACTTGGGCCTGAAAAAGTTACTAGCTCCTGTTCAAGTGTTGTTAATTATTGTATATATTTAATCTTTGTCTTACTGAATAATTATATATTACTGTACCTAAGCAATGTATGTGTAATTGGAATAATTATGTATTCTTGCCTCCATCCCCTTTTTCCTTTGTTTTTATTTTAGATTGTAAGTGCCTTAAAACAAATATCTGTTATATCTCTTTACAAAACAGTACAGTATTAATAAATCATCCTCATCATTAATGTCTCCAACACTAGTAAATATTCTTGCAGTCTATTTTTTAAGTTTTAGTATTGGGAATGGTGCCTTTGATTATCCTTTTTGATTGTCAAGGCTTCTGTTTTAGTTTGCCAACTACCTCGAGAGATCCTTCTTCAATAAAAGAGGATGTCCATGTTGGAAACAACCAAAAAGCTAGAACAAAAAAAAAAAGGCATATTTTTAAAAGACTACACATTTATTGTGTTATGACATGGATGTAAGTCCATGAAAGCTTATGCCACTGTAGCATTCAAGATGCTACAAGATGATTTGCTTGGTTTGCTGCCACAGACTAGTCCAGTGTTCCTCAACCTCAGCGACTTTAAGATGTGTGGACTTCAACTCCCTATAAGATGTGTGGACTTCAACTCCCAGAATTCCCCAGCCAGGGAATTCTGGGAGTTGGTCCATACATCTTAAAGTCTCTGAGGTTGAGGAACACTGGTCGACAAAGTCGCTGAGGTTGAGGAACACTGGACTAGTATGAGTAAACTTCTCGGAGAAAAAAAATTCCCAATAACTAATTAGCCTTATAGTATAAGTAAATTACAGCTGCTGACATTTGGCTGCAGATAAGCGGAAGGCATATTTCCTTGTGGATCTTATAAGAACATAGGTCAACATATACACGCAAGGCAAGCCAATGGCTGAGATTGTACCTGCTACCTCCACAATATCTCCTGGGACGATGTCCCGAGCTCGGATCCGCTGCACTCCGTTCCTGTCTGCTCTAATCACTTTCCCCATTTCTGGTTCGTATTCCTTTAGGGCCTCAATTGCACTCTCAGCGTTCCTCTCCTGGAAAACACAGGACAGCTTTTTAAAACTGGAGCTTTTCCAACTCAGCAGTCCCCTGAATGATCTGGGTGTCTCTGGGGAGAAGCTTTTTCCAGTTGAGATTTGCCCCAAAGAAAAGATCTGTCCCATCCAGATGCAGATGGGGTCTACCACACGCAGGGCCTTTTTGGTGACGACCCAGAATACTACGTTGCAGTATCTTGTTTTGCAATCGTATGGACTAGTATTGTGGTGCTGTTCTGCGGATAGAAAATGCGCACTTGTTCTGTTGGATTGTTGAACCAGGTTCCTCCTGTTTTGGTTTATTGTTTCATATTGGATTGCTCTGATTATTCTTTTATTTCTTTTAAAAGACTATTTTGGAAACATTAGCTGAAAGAAAGCATATGTACATTTGGAACAAATTTATCCTCAATTGCCTTCTTTAAAAAGTTGCCTCAGCTATTTTTCGTAACCTCATTTACTTCCAAAAATATATTTCTAGCCAATGTCAATTTGGCATGTGTTCAATCAAAATTGCATTCTCTTCTATGTTTGTATCAGTTTGTGAGGAGAGGTGATGGTATGCAAGGCTGGAGCTAAAAATGATCTTTGTTTTTAAATTAACTTCCCTAACTTAAACTACTTGGACTAATATCCAGAGCAGAACATTTTTCAGACTGCAACTTCCAAAAGTGTACAGGGCAGCTCTCAGCTCAAATATTATACACGGAACTATGTAAAGGAAATTGGTATAAAAATAAATACAAAATTTGTGTGCGTGACTTTAAAAAATGCAGAATTATTCAGGAAGTGAATGGAAAAGATGAACGATTTATATGCGTGAGACTACAAAGGACAGGAGGTAGACAGATTCACTGACCCCCTGCTTACTGATAAATCAAAGGCTGCAATGAATATTGTATTTTATAAAAGGAAGATAACCTTGAATTTAATACCGTCCTCCCCAAAAGGAGGAATAATTAGGAAAAAAATAGATAACTGACTCAAGTTCTGTAGAACACCCCGGCTTTTTCATTCTGTCAGCATATGGTCCTCAGCTCCAGCTAAACTCCAGATTCCTCCCCTCAAATAAATGTGTGCATGTGATACACCTCAATCAGTGGCATCTGCAGGGCAGGGGGGTGTCAAGAGGGGGCAGAATGACAAAAGCAACATCACACCATTGTGATGCAAGTCCCACCCCTTTTCTTAGTGCATGCAACATCTCACAGGGTGAAGCGTGTATCACAACAGCATGATGCTGCTTCCATCATTCTGATGGAAGCAGGAAGCTTCTGAGGACACTTGGAAGTCACATTCCGAAAAAGTAAAATTAACTGAATTAATAATTCCTGATTAAAATTAAGTGCCTGTAAAACAAACCACTCCCTTGATGAAATTAATTGATCCCCATCTACATGTATGGATCATTCTCTTGCACACATAGAAGCCACTCACATGTACCCACACACCAGCAGAAACAGCAAAAAAAGAAGAAAAGAAAAGATGGAGATGGTCTAAGTGGAAGGAGTACAGGGGAAGGGAGGGGAGGGGAGGGGAGGGAGGGGAGGGAGAGGAGAGGAGAGGAGAGGAGAGGAGAGGAGAGGAGAGGAGAGGAGAGGAGAGGAGAGGAGAGGAGAGGAGAGGAGAGGAGAGGAGAGGAGAGGAGAGGAGAGAAGAGAAGAGAAGAGAGAGAGAGAGAGAGAGAGAGAGAGAGA